AGGTTTCAGAGATGCATTATGAGGCTTCCTCGCTGCCTTGTTCTTCTTCATGTATCTGTCAGTCTGTGGCCTTCACAACCTGAGCCCAGAGAGGCCTTCAGGGCTCCCTCTGTCTGACAGTGTCATTACTGGACAACATACAAAAGTTGTGGTTAACGAGACTGAAAACAAAGACAAACAGTGTTCCTTCTTCCTGAGAGGCCGTGTGACTGCGCACATATTTACTGGCAGAGAAACGATCCACGGAAAAACAGTTGACCTCTCAATCAAATTCAGCAAGTACGAGAAAATCGACTGGTGGATTAGTGTCAAAAGGAGCTTTTGTTTGTTTTCTACTATTGTGTTTTTCATTATATCTGGTTTAATTCTCTTTTCTCCTAACCTTGTTATGCATTTTCTCTTGGAAGTTAGCGTAAACCGTCAGTTTGAAAAAATTAAAATTGATTTGATCATCTGGTTTTCATACAATGGCATTCATTCATGTAAAAACAGTCACACTAAAAATGACAGAACAGTTGGGAAACACACACCTCATGAGTCAACTTGCATGCAGGATTTTTGTAGCAAAAAATCACCAAGCTTTTCTCCAGACTGCTGGGAACGCTTATTACCCAATGGCATCAGTCCCTTTGATCAGCAATAATCAATAGTGTGGCAGCGTCGTGGGCCGTCGCCAACGCTTGTTCCATTTCTTTTCCATTTTGCAGCTTGTTTACGAGTGATTAAGAGGCCTACTCCTTCTTTGTAGTCATCAGTCAATGTAATTGTCATTGACAACAAAGTTTGGCCCATGACACCTGCGACATGCCTACAAAATGAATGTGATGAAGACAGGGCTTTGGAAAATTGTGATTGTGTAAGAGAGCTAGGGTTAAAAGGCAAAATTAGTCTGACAATTACTCTGTGATGGTGTTTAAAAAAAAACAAAAAACAAAACCCAAAAATCCTGAACTGATTAATGCGTCACCACTTCATTTAAGTCTCTGTAAAGATCAAACGTGAAAGTTGAGCTCGGTTTCAGCGCTGCCATAAAAGTGTCCCTTCGCCGGCAGATTTGATGTGAGAGCTGGATAACAGTGATTACTTTTATTGTTTCTACCATTTGCTTTGCCTTAGTATGTAATGTAGTCAAGTCAAAAATGTCTGCGATGGGGAAGGAAGCAGTAGTGTCATTTTCCAAAGACTAAATCCCAAAGAGCTGCTGGTCCTGGAGAGATCCGAAGATAAAGGAAAGACTGTTGTTATCTGAAGTGCAGTGTTGTCCGTTGTTTCTCTTCATTAACGTGCATCTGCTTACACGGGAAGTAATCCTGAAGAGAATTAAACACAATCATAAAGTTTTCACACGTCACAAACTCTGCAGAGCGGCTCCAGAGGATGGCGCCAACAACACCAAATATGTCTGTTATTGCAAGTGACATTGTCATTATATACTGACACAGCATCTCTGCTCTAGTGGGGCATAAAACTGTCCTACTAAACCAGCAACATAAACACGTTGATAATTTACATTTATATGCCATCAAGAGGCGACATTTGCTGACACAAAAAAAATAGTTTCCCGCGCTCTGCCCAGAGTATGATTCTCATTATCCCGCCGAGGGAAAAGCGCGGCTGTGGTGTTAATAAAAAGTACACAGACAGTGACCTTTGTCAAGTCGCTTCTGCAAACTCCGGCGGTAAAATTGAAATAAAGGGAGAGTGTTCCTGCTTCAAGGAGATCATTAAAGGCTGCGTCTCTATGACAATTCTACAGATAGTCATGTTTAATGGACACAGAGGAGCTCAGAAGAGTCACGATGTTTTAATATGTTTTAAATATAGTCATGCAAACACTAAACTGAAAAAGAAAGGCTATTCTTAAATTCTTACAAAAAAAGTGGAGGAACGTCTACACCAAAACCTTAATTAGTCTATAATAAGTTACAGTGACCACGGCTGAAACAACAAAGCCCGTCAAATCATGACAAACATGGCTTCACTCTGACTCCTAAAATACATACAGCAGCATAACAAGCTGATTTACCAGGTTGCAAACAACATTTATGGAACAACAATCCGTTACAGAGTGTTATTAAACAGAGGCGTGTCCAGCAGACGGCTCATAAAAAAATTATATTTTGTTTCCTTCTATGTGTAAAATATGCAATCTTGTATTTTTGCGGTATTATTGTACAACTCTAAAGGCACATTGAAAAACAATTAGAGGATTTACTGCCAGGCATCAAATTAAACTGCCTGTGACCCCTGGGTTCACCCAGTCATCTTCATAAATCCCTGCTTGGACTGATTTATTGGAAGACCTTAAGAAGGGTTACCAGACGAGCTGTGAATTTGCTGAGTTGATGATGGCACCGTGTTTTTTATTTATTTATTTTTTTTATTTATACCGCAGCCTATTAGGCTCCTTTGGAGCTTAGCTGATCGCTGCTGATGGAAGGGTCAACGCAATGACAGTTGCGCGAAGAAATGCAATCAGCCCTGGGACCATTAATGCTGAGTTAATCATCCTTTATACTGGTGTACGTCTGTACAGGATGTACACAACAATATCAGTAGATTGTGCTACAGGATAAGTGTACAGTGAGTACTAACAGCATGGTACAATACAATATGTGTGGAGTGCCTTGTCAGTTGGATGAATCGGTGCTTTTACTTTGCACCTTTTTACATATTTGACCATATAAATATACATAATACAACTCTCGAAGTTCAATCATTTTGTATCCCTTTTTTGCTAATCAAATGTAAACATTTCCATTCAGTTTTACATGGCGTCACTTTAAAACTGTGGCTTTGACAGTTGGAAGGTTTCAGGTTTGAGTCCAGCTAGCACTGTTACCACCGAGGTGCTCTGAGCATGGCACCATCCCCACTCACTGCTCCCAGGGTGTTTAAAGCTGCCCACTGTTCACTTTGGTGATGGGTTAAAAGCAGAGGTCACATTTGGTTGTGTTCAGTGGTGAGCTGTGGTACAATGACAAGTAGTTCACTTTCCTGAGGAGAATTACTGTAATGTCTCGTACCAGTGCTGTTTGAAGTCATGTGCAAAATCTGACACAAACGTTTCATGTTTGTTAGACAAAAAAAACAAAACACTGTCAGTGTATTCTGTACTGTATTTAATGCTCTTCCTCCTCAGAGCAGTGTGGATGACGTGAAAATCTGGGCCCGTGTTTTTGCGTTATTTAACAAAACCAGATTACTAATAAAAGTGCTTTTTGCTTTGATCAATGGGAGAATCAAACATAAATTATTTTCAGATCCTGTCTGATTGAGTTTGTACACTCCATACCACTTCACAAGTTTTCATGGAAATAAAGGCTTTGTTGACTTGAGCTCTCTGTTATGGCAGGTGCCCTTTCTCACGCTCCTACTGAGACCATATGGGTCCCACCAGCTCGGGCCCCGTCTGCACCAGCCCTGTCACACCTGAGTACCGCAGATCAAAGAGCGCTGCCGTGTCTACAACCACACAGCTGCTGCACGTGCCAAACTTCCTTCTCTGTTCCAGTTCTTTTGCTTTAACATGTGTTTCCAAGGTTGACCACTAATCCTTCATTCATATGCAATACAGAGTCTCTGGAAGGCACTGGAGTGACAGCTCTGGAAACTCTGAGCCGTGTTGTTGTGTCTTGGGAGAAGTTGTCCCCCCCTTTGGTTTGCTCAGAGTTTGGTCTTTCACTCCCACCCCCCCTGTATGTTTGTTTTTGTGTTTGTAGCTGCGGAAAGCCACATTCTGAAAGTGAGAGCACGGGGGGGACAAAACCATCCGGCCAGACC